GGGGGGGGGGGGGATGCTCAACACAACCTTTATTTGTATGTTTACTTCTGAAGGTTAACAGTGCAGTAACTCATAACACATAGGATGGCATTCAAAAGTCGACAATCAAAACAATCAAAAACTTCTGGAATATTTGTGGCAAGACTGAAATAATGATTCCAAACAACAGCATTTTATTGATTTTATTGATGTCCTTAGACAGTTGTATTTCTGATGGACTCCTACTTGACATGTAACGATTAACCTCACTCTTATGGCGAACAATGACACGACTGAGAGATACAGTGATATCCTGAGAAAAGCAGTTAGCCAGGAGGCCATCCCAGCTGACGACCCCCCAGCACGTGGATGTGAACGTGGTAAACGGACTGACCCCCGTCAGGACCCTCATTGAGCACCACTCGATATCCTCGGGGCAATCCCACCTCCTCGGCACACTTCTTAGCAACGATCATCAGGTGTCCAAGTAGCTGTGCCAATATAAACAAACAATCATAATACATAATACTTCAAAACAGACATTAACCAATAGGTCTAGTGGCATAGAGTTTTAAAGTGCCCCTATTATGGAGTTTTGAAAATGACCTTTCATGCAGTGTGCAACACAGCTCTCAGTGAATCCTGCAAAGTTTTAAATCTGAAAGTGCTCCGTGTATAAAGTTATTGGGCCTCATTTACGAAACGAACGTATGACAGAAAATTGGGCGTACGGTCGTTTCAACGCAAAACTTGGAATTTATCAATATGGACGTGAGCGGTGGCTACGATCAAATCTCACGTCTGGTCTCAGCTCGTCTATGCAAGTTTTTGAGTTACCTGAACTTGCGCGCAGCATAGTAAATACGGTGGAGAATTGCAGAATGACAGCATTTTGTTCATTTTTATTTTCCTGACCGTCAAGCGACGTCAACATGAAACATTTGCATATTGCCCGCCCACTTGTTGGTCTTTTCGCATTGGTCTGAATGAAAATGCAAATTCATTCTTTGCCACTAAGGTGCAGCTTTTGGAGCGATAATAATAGCTGTTTCCCCGGTAATGCTGTACACAAAGCAGCACTGCGCTCACAAACACTACTTTATCAGGCATTACAGGAGAGATCCAATCGGACCAATCACCGCAGATTAGCGTCACGCAAAGGAGGGGTTTGGAAAAATGAATCGTTGAGCGAATCGTTTGGGAGTCGTTGAGCAAGTAATGTGAAAAATAAATGCATATTATAAGACAATTAAAGTGTTTTTTGACCTTGCATGCATGTCATCCTGTTGTTGGGGACTCTACCAAAATATGAACCTTTCATTACCCATAACAGGGGCGCTTTAAATAGTGCCTCAATAATAAAGCTGATGGTAAATACTCATTTAAATTATGAAAATTTATTTTTAATAACAACTTTCAATTGTTTAATAACTGAATTACTGGTGAAGATCTACACTACCCAAAATCCATGAAGAGAATCTTCAATCTACCAATCAGAGAAGTCACGAAATCACAGAAAAGAGAATTTCTGTAGCAGTCTGATATTTTTTATTTTTCTGTTGTTAAAATATGTTGTTGTGATGTTGCTTAACTGAGATTTACTTTTGTAATTGTTCCATTTTTTGCTTACACTGTACCCTTTTTGACATCTAGTGGTTAGAGCTGCTAAATGTATGAACACAGGTGAATCTATTTAACCTCTTCTTGTTTGCTACTGTTTGGCACCCTGATGAAAGCCTGTTTGGCCAGATACACATCAGTGTTTCCTAACATGTAGCCCTGCAAATACAGGCATTTTAAATATTAAAATTCATGCATTAAAAATTAAAGTCTATGCAAATCTATCTCTGGATGTGGAATTCTGCCTCTTCTATGAGATAAGATAAACCTACAATAGGTTTGAACATTGAACTGACTTGAGCTGAATAACAACACTGTTGTCTTCCATAGAGCTCTACTTTAGAGCTACTATACAGCAGAATTTGAATTTTTCATATATTTAAAGTTGTCTGCATCAATGATTTTGTTATTTTCCGGTTTATTATTGTTAGGCTGCTTTGAAACAATCTACAGATTGTTTCAGAACTAACTAAAGAACTAGAAGGTGACTTGACTTAATGTTGTGTGCAGAACTGTTTATTAAAGAATGTTTATTAAGTGTCCATGGAGAAAACAAAAAGTACTTCAGAAACAAAGCCACATATATGTAAATACTATGGTAATCAACAGATTCATGGGCACTGGATTCATTTGGAGGTCTGTGGCTAATGAAGTAGTAACTTCAAACACATTTTGTAACCGTATCAGTTTAATACTGACCTCTTTATCAGCGTCCTCTGCTTCTGAGATCTGAGAGATGGGCTTTCTGGGGACCACCAAGAAGTGAGTGGGAGCCTGAGGGGCCACATCATGGAAGGCAATACACTAATACACAAACAGAGAAAGTTTAACAACGTGTATTCTGCATTCAACTAGGTGTATGAAATATATATTTAAAATTAAGCATAAAAATAGCACAGCTGCTGTGCAACAAAAACCATTCATTAACATATGCGCAATCGCAGCACGTGGAGAAATGCGACAGTTCAGTCAAGTGCAGAACACGTGAACTAGCGCAAAAATATGGCACATTTCCAGATCTCCTCGATTCCAGCTGAACTGCAGAGCTCGAGTTGAATTTGCAACGGAACTGCAGATGCATCGATAACAGAGATCAGACAGTTTATGGTTCTCACTGAAGAGCATTTTAATGCTGCCGCAGCAGGCGCAGAATCAACCGCATTAGCGTGTCAGCGCTGAAGCAGTGCAGCTGCACAAACAGACCGCACCTGATCATCTTCATAGATGATGTTGGCAGGAATCTCTTTGCGGATGATTTTGCCGAAGATCGTGTCTCCTCCCGGCTGCGCGCTCTGAGCTCGAGACACCTCATCCGCCATGATGACCACAGAGATCTTTTTCTTCTTCTTCTTCTTCTTCTTCTTGTGTTTTATGGCGGTTTGGCAAACCAGCGAAAGAGGTGCATTACCGCCACCTACTGATCTGGAGTGTGGAGTGTGCATAAATTTGGAAGAAATAAATACAGAAGGGAAAGAAAGGAGACAAAAATAATTAAAAGAAAAAAAACTAGATTCTATCTATTGTTCCTGTGTTTTTAGGCAGCTTATCCTCATCAAAATGAATCATCACAGAGAGACTGTCTCCCCTTTCATTATTCCTATTGCATTTTAGTCTTTTCACCTCAATCACTGCGGCTCCCGTAAGACCTCTCTTAATCTTTTCAACTGTTACATCTGTGGGGATCCCTGTTATTACTCCTTTCACCCATTTCTTTTCTTCTTGTACTGAACAAATCACACTTTGTCCCATGATCGATTTAACTCCTAGAGCCTTCTTTTGTTGCCTACTATCCTTACAATATATTATCAATCTACCATCCCTCAACTTCTTAACACTTTCAATCAGTCCTATCACTTCCTTAATTGTTTTAGATAATTTCAGCGGATTAATGATACTGAAAGATCCGGTTTCAAGTTTCATCACTACCTTATACTCTTCCTTCCTTCTTCTTGTCAGATGTGTTCCATTTTCACTGTCAGTTGCAGATGCGTTACTCCAGCTTTTCTTTCTTTTTCGATTTTCTACTATACTCCATTCATTATTTCCATTCCCGCCTTCATCCGCGTCAAACACTTCATCCTCCATTTCCGGATCACTTCCGGAATCTACGCCACTTCCTACCATGCACTCTCCAGTCACAGATCAGCTGTTGCCAAACCGCCTCCGACTCCAGAGCCAGCCTACCTGCCCCGCTCCCATCCACCCGAGGCACCACAGAGATCTGCTTCTGTCAATCACACACAGCTCAGAACGACAACGATTGGACAATTCCCTCTGACGACCGAGCACATGACTGGACAGCGAAAATTAACTATTTTTTCATAATAAAAGCCTCAGCGAAGTTTTCAACGTTTATTTAATCTAATATGTGACCCTGGAGCACAAAACCAGTCATAAGTCGCTGGGGTATATTTGTAGCAATAGCCAACAATACATTGTATGGGTCAAAATTATAGATTTTTCTTTTATGGCAAAAATCATTAGGATATTAAGTAAAGATCATGTGCTATGAAGATATTTTGTAAATTTCCTACCGTAAATATGTTAAAACTTAATTTTTGATTAGTAATATGCATTGCTAAGAACTTAATTTGAACAACTTTAAAGATGATTTTCTCAATATTTAGATTTTTTTGCACCCTCAGATTCCAGATTTTCAAATAGTTGTATATCAACCAAATATTAACAAACCATACATCAATGGAAAGCTTATTTATTCAGCTTTCATTTTATGTATAAATCTCAATTTCCAAAAATGGACCCTTATGACTGGTTTTGTGGTCCAGGATCACACAAGCATTCAGTACACTGTTCTAGAATGTTTTCTCGATGTAGTGGTACTGGTAGTCTACTATATTCATAATAATAAACTAATATAAACCCAATTACCTATATTAATTGAATGACACTGATATTTAGAGTGCTCTAACTCGGTTTATTTCTGCTGTGCTGTAACAGATTTATGCTAATTTCAGCAGCAAGATCCCAGTCACAGAATAAAAAAAAATGTACAGCAAGATCGCAGTCACAGAATCTTTCAGTTGAATTAGGTTTTATTATTCCTTAATTTTAATATTCTATGACTGCGATCTTGCTGCTGAAATTTGCATGGATCCGTTACAGCACAGAACAGAAAAAAACTGAATTAGAGGAGTAGCTCAATGCAAACCTAAGAACTACATTATGGAGTAATAAAGTAAGGTATAGTAAAACACTTCATAAAACTGTTTATGTATTTCAGCGTTATGTTCGGAATGTGGGGTCTCTGCCATAGACTGTATAAAAACAGGTCTCTGCAGGGCAAAAGTTGGCGACTTCAAACTTGTGGGTGTTTCTACACATAAAAATTATGCCTTTTTTTATTGACCAGAACAAAGTTTACAAAAATGTACATAACAACATGCCAGAGTGTACAAACCATTGATTCATGAATCAAAAACTGCATATTCGTAAAAAAATATTACAAGTCTTCTTTGCTTTTTTATTAACAATATTCTCCAAACTAGTAGTCCAAAGTAGTCCTTAGTCTCTTAAAGAAAATGAATGAAATTTGGCTTGGATCCTGACCATCTCTTCTTAAGTATGGGAAATTTTCCCAAAAACATGAAAATGATACCACCTCGAAACAACTGTCACTGTGACGTCAGTAAGTCCAGTAACGCGTTCGGAAACGCCCCTCCGTTTTGGCCTCGCCCACAGGTTACTCTTCTGCAGAATTATTTTTCGCGTCCGTTGGCTTTTATTTTGAAACGTGTTACTTCCGTGTTGTGATTCGTACACTGCTGACATGTCTAACAGATGTGTCGTGTTCTGTGTTTTACTGGCAGGATTTTGCTTCATTTCGTGGAAACACTCGTTGATTGGTAAGACTCTATCATGATAATCATTATTCTGGCAGAAAAATGAAAGCAGAAAATCCAGAATTTCATCATGCTAAGCTAAGCTCACTTTTAGGAGAGGAAGAAAAACATTGAAATTCCTAATATTAACTTGGAATCATTACATCATCTTATTGTTTATCAAATTATGATAACTTTTTGATCCAAATTTCTTCATTTGGAATTGGATATTGTTCTTATTTTGAGATCATTGCTATAAATCTTGAAAATCAGCTTGGGCTAATGCTACTGCAATTGCAAGTGATAAAGTGAGCCAGGGCTGCTAAAATTCAAGATGACATGTGTGATCATGTGTGTTAAAGGTGTTAAAGATGCTCTGAAGCTGGCTGGACGCGGGTTCATATTCCTGGGCATCTGCACGTGGCTGATTTACATGTTCCCGAGGCTGAACTATTTCTTCTTTCCAGTGTGTCAAGAGCTCCCAGACAGTGCGTACATTCAGCTGACAATCTGATGTTTGTGTAGTTGTGTATTTTCTGTAAAAGCTTATTTTTATAATTAAAGTTGAGGTTTGTCATCTCGCAGGCCCCCTGCTTGAATCCAACAGACAGAAAGAAGAGCAAGTCAGAAGAGCTCAACAACATCAACACAATGACAAGGTTCAACACATGACTCTGTCTTTAAAAGTGAATCAATATGAAATGTTCCACTGCAGATGAGTATGATATGAATATAAAATATTGTAATGATACATGTGTTGTTTCTCATAATATGAAGACATCTGACTATGCTGAAAGTGTGATAAAGCCGAGGCAGAGCGTATTACTCCAGCAGAGAATGGAACGATACCATCGGATGACAGGAGAGACCTGGAAACTGAGCAAGGGTTTGCCTGTCGGGGTGAGAAGACGCATTATCACCCAGAACATGACGGGTGTTCTTCTGTTTTTACTTCTTTTTTAAACAATTAAAAATAAGAATTAAAGTACATTTACATTTAATCATTTAGAAGACGCTTTTATCCAAAGCGACTTACAAATGAGGACAATAGAAGCAATCAAAATCAACAAAAGAGCAATGATATGCAAGTGCTATGACTCAGTTAGCTTAATGCAGTACACGTAGCAAGGTTTTTCTTTAAATTATATAATAAATAAAAAGAAAACAAATAGATAGAATACAAAAAGAATAGAGACGCTAGTGTTAGTTTTTTTTAAAGAAAACAAGCAGTTAGTAAATGAATAGAGACAAGTTTTTTATTTATTTATAAAGAATAGAGTTAGAATAGAAAGTGTTAGAGTGTCAAATAAAGGTGGAACAGATGTGTTTTTAGTCGTTTCTAGAAGATGGTTAAGGACTCAGCTGCTGGGATTGATTTGGGCAGGTCATTCCACCAGGAGGGAACAGTTAATGTAAAAGTCTGTGAAAGTGATTTTGTGCCTCTTTGGGATGAACAATAAAGCGACGTTCACTTGCAGAATGCAAGCTTCTAGAGGGCACATAAGTCTGAAGTAATGAATTTAGGTAAAGGGGTGCAGAGCCAGTGGTGGTTTTGTAGGCAAACATTAATGCCTTGAATTTTATGCGAGCAGCTTAAAAAAAATAGGATGAAATGACACTATTGGAAACATAGATAAACAATTTAGATTACTGACTGCACCTATGATATGGTTCAGGGGGAAGAGGACCAGAGGTGTGGTGATGCTGGTGTAGACGAGAATCCTAATCAGGGAGCCAGAAGGAGACGCAAGCTTCTTCAGACCGTTACCCAAGATCCTGTCCAACAGGAAGTGCCCAAGCAGAAGAAGGTGAATAAAAGCCTTTTTCTTGGAAAGGTGTTCTAAAGGATCCCTTGGTTATAGACATACAGTTGTGACCAGAATTATTGGCCCCCTTGGTAAATATGAGCAGCGAGGGCTGTGGAAAGTTCTGCATTGTTTGTTTACCCTTTCGATCTTTCACTCAAAACAATTTCCTTTCATTGAAGTAAAACAGTTGAAAGCGGGAGGGGAAATTAAATTCATGTTTTCTCCAGTGCATGTTGACCAGCAATTATTAGCATGCCTAGAAATATCTCTAAAGTAAATTCATATTCATATTCACATTTTAGCACACCAGGGTGAATACAAAGCCATGACTTTTCTATTTCACAGGACTATAAATATATATAGGGAACACAAAGGCCTAAATCCTTTCATCATCCTCCATCACAAACAGAACAAGATTGCTAAACTTCACAAATTAGAAAGTGGCTGTAAGTAAAGCGCTAAAGCATTGAAAATTGCTACAAATCTGCCTGGAAGAAGACGTCTGTATTGTCTTGTTGCGTGGTGAGGAGGATAGTTTGAGTGGCCAAAGACTCTCCAAGTATCACAGCTGGAGAATTGCAGAAATTAGTTGAGTCTTGGGGTCAAAAGCCTTAAAAGTACATCAGACATCCCTTACAAGCTGTTTGGGAGGATTTCAAGATAAAAATCTTCTGCTGTCACCTAAAACACACTATTCAACTTGCATATTGCATATAAAAAACTTGCATCTAAAACAAAAAAGAAAAAAAGTGCAGTAACAGATCACTGTAGCGCCTCAGTTCAAGCGGCACACGTGAACCGATCATCTTTTCATATTTACTTAAAGCACGAAATAAACATGAGTGAACATCAGAAGGTATTTTATGTCAAAGACTGTTTGTAATGAAAGATCAAAAGTATAAACAATGCAGAACTTTTTTTTCCAGAGCATCCTTTGCTCATATTTACCAAGGGAGGGGGCAGTAATTCTGACCACAACTGTAAATGTATGTAGCACTTTCAGAAACGTCCCCCTGTGTTATGGTCCTGTGTGGAAGAAATGTTTTTTTCTCCCGTTAAAGGTCATAGTTTTGCCTGACGAGCCGTCAGTGGATACTGAGGGGGTGAGTGAACTTACACCACAGAAAATATAGACCAAGAAATAAAAACAAGAGGCAGATCATGACCCAATAATAACTGGTACTTTCTTCTGTGAAGGCATGTATTTATAGTTACATCTCTGCTCTGTAATTCACTGACAGGTTGTAAAAATAGCTCTAAGATGTCCAAGTGGAAGAACGATCTACAGGAGTTTCCTCAAATCCTGGAGTTCTCTGGTGAGTCTCCCTGATTACTGTGATCTGGTTTGAGTAGAGAAGATGCAAAGGTTATGTTCATGTCTTATTGTCATTAGCTGCTTCTTGACTGGATGATGAAGACAGGATACCATCCTGCTCTCTACACACTGTGTACATCCTACCCGAGGACCGTGCTGATCGCCGCTGCAGACGTGAGCCTGGAGGAGGCTGGCGTTCTCACCAACACAGTGCTGAATGTGGAGGAGAAAGAGCCGTCCATTACCTAAGAGCACTTCTGTTTCTGAAAAGCTTTTATTGGACTGAATGGAGCTGGTTATGGAT